TCCGGAGCTGTTCTTCTCTCATTTCCAGTAAAACTCTCCTAATTTCCTTTGGTTTGAGACTTCATTCCTCGATGTTGTTGCACCTCAAACTCAGTGGTGGCACAGTTGCCACCTGACAGGTTGGGAGTTAAGAGTTCTCCTATGCGGGATTTAGCTCAGTGGTTCCACCGCCTGCCCCGCAAACGCGAGGACCCTAGTTCGATCCCCGGTACCAAAAAAAAAAGTTTTGGGCCAGGGATTTAGCTCTGTAGTTTCGCCGCCTGCTGCACAAGCGCAAGGACCCGAGTTCAATCCCTGGTACCAAAAAAAAAAAAATTTACATTTATCATTGGGTTCTTGTACCTGAACATGATGTATCTTAATTCTTACTTTTTCCATTACCTGTGCGCACTTCATCCCCTCCACCCTTCCCTATTTACATAGACTTTGTTTCCTTTTTTTTTTTTCTTCCTTTCCCTTCTTCCCTTTCCCCTTCCCCTCCTGCCACTGTCTCAAAATTTTAAAATAGGGGGAGGCTGGAGATGTAGCTCAATGTGAAGACCCTGGTTTCAATCCCTAATACCCCCCCCAAATCAGTAGGAATAAATCTTACCTTATCAGTAATTATCTGAAATGGGTTAAATGCGCCAATAAAAAGGTAGTGATTGGCAGTGGGTGGCATATATCTCCAACTGTATACTGTCTACAGGAGACATTGTAGGTTCAAAGATAAAATAGTGGAAAGATACGAATGGTGTAATATGCAAACTAAACCCTAAAAAGTGGATTGGCTATACCAGATAAAGTAGACTTGAAGCTAAAAATTTGTTACTCTAGACATACAAGAATGCATGTCAACATGATTTATAATAGTGGACAAGTGGAAACAATCTAAATGTCTAGCTGAAGATAGATAAAATGGTATCTCTGTACAGTGAGATATTTGGTAATAAAATAAAAAATGAAACTGATACATGAATGAGCCTTGGGAATATTTAAATGAAAGTCATAAAAGACCATATATTGTTTGATTTGATTTATGAGAAATGATCAGAATAATCAAATCTGAACAGCAGAAAGTTGCATAGAACTTGTGGAGTATGAGAAGTGGGAATGGAGATTGCTAGTGAAGCTCATTTTAAAGAATTAAGGTATTCTAAAATTACATTGTAGCAATGGTTTCACAACTGAATATACTAAAAGAATTGAATGGTATGTTTAAATGAATGAGTTATTTGGTATGTGAATTATAGATGAATAAAGCTGTCTGAAATACCCTTTGGAGTCATGCCTGTCTACAAGGAAATCATATTTGAAAAATAAAAATGACTGTAAATCACAAAACTGCTTACGTATGCTTTATGAACAAACTAAAAACTAAGAGATAAAATTCTACTCATTTGACAACAAGAATTCCCTTCCATATAAAGATAGACATGTAGACTAATAGAAAAGAATTAGTCTAGGAATGAACCCATGTATATGTTGGCAGTTGATTTTTTTTTTTTTTGCTTTGGTTTTGAATGTTCCTTTGGTTTGGTTTGGTTTGGTTTGATATACTTTTATTTGCTTTTGTTTCTTTTATCTTTTTTATAGCAAATCATTTATTGGTACATTTTAGGCATAATAATGATAACATTCATCTAGGGAATTTGCACCTTGACAGTTGATTTTTGACAAGATATGCCCTTCAAAGCCACACCTCCATGACCTGCTACTTCTACATCCTAATGTCCATTCTGCTGGAAACTCATCAATGGATCAGTCTGTTGATGAGGTTAGTGCCCTCATGATCCAGTCACCTCTCTAAGTGCCAACTCTAACATTGATGTGGTGGACATCAAGTCTCCAAACCATTATACTAGTCATTAGGGAAATGCACATCAAAACCACAGTGGGATGTCATTTCACACCAACTAGGATGGCTGTAATAATAAAGGAAGGTCACAAGGGTTGGCAGGAATGTGGAGAAATTGGAACCCTTGTAGCCCTTGTACAGTAGTGTTATGAATTAAAATGGCTCAGCCACTGTGGGAAGCACTTTGGTGGATCCTCAGAAAGTTAGAACTACTATAATACACACTGCTCTGTATCTAACCAAGGGAAATTAAAATGTGTTCAAACAACTTTTTTTTTTTTTTGGTACCAGGGATCGAACTGGGACCTTGTTCTTGTGAAGGCAGGCGCCGGAACCACTGAGCTAAATCCCCAGCCCAAAAACGTATACCTAATGTTTATAGCAGGGCTATTCATGATAGCCAAATGTTGGAAATATGTACCCAAATGTTGAATAATGGATGAATGAACGAATAAAATGTGGTTTATACATACACTCCTAGAAAGGAATGAAGTCCTGACACATGCTACAACATGGAGAAACTTAAGCGAAAGAAATGAGACACAAATGACTATTTAATGATTTCATATATATGAAATATTTAAAATAGATAGATCTGTAGAGACAACAAATTTGTGGTTGGCAGCAACTATGAAAACTGTTTATTGGGCACAGGAATGTCATTTGGGTGATGAAAATGTGTTAGAACTATGTAAAGGTGTTAGCTACACAATATTGTACTAAGTGCTAGTGAATTGATGCTGGTAAATGGTTAATTTTATTATGTGAATTTCACCTCAGCATAAATAAGGAGATGGGGCCAGGGATTTAGCTCAGTGGTGCCACCACCTGTCTCATAAGCACAAGGTCCTGAGTTCAATTCCCGGTACCCAAAAAAAAAAAAGATGGGAACTTTAGACCATAGTTTGCCAGTCCTTCTCTAACCTTGTTTTGGTTTTTTTTTTAGTACAGATTTATAGCATATGCAGTTTACAGTCACCTTGGGGACTGTGTACATGTACATAACACAGCTTGTTTCTTTTTCTAATCACCTTCCCCTTCTTTCCCTCCTCCTTTAATAAGCTTCTGATTTGTTTTGTTTTGGTACCAGGGATTGTACTCAGGACCTTGTGCTTGCGAGCCAGGCATGGCACTCTGAGCTAAATCCCTGGCCCAATAAGCTTCTGTTTTAAATAGCCTCTTTTGGAGCCAGCATTTAGTTCAGTGGCACCATGCCTGTCTCGAAAGTTAAAGGTCCTGAGTTTGATCCCCACTACCAGGAAAAAAAAAAATCTTCTTTGCCTGTCACCTGTTTAGCTCGTGCTCCAGGATAGGTGTCACTCACTTTAGCAGGGCCTCCCTTGCACACCTTTCTGTGTAGGGTAGCAGTCCCCTGTCCTAGCTGTCCATCAGTGTACTGTTTTGCAGTTGTTTGCCTACTTACCAGAAACTCATCATCTGTCCTGGAGGGAAGGACCTGTTTTGTATCATTTCATTTATCCTCAGCTCCAGGTGCAGTGCCTAGCTAACCAAAAGATGAGCGCATTTGAAGCCTTACTTGCTGCAGTCCTCGACATGTCTTTACCCAACTTTGGTACCTTTGACTGTCAGCAGCCCCATGAGGTGGGCTTCACAGAAACTGAAGCCTTAGAAGCAGATCATTGGGCTGAGGCCATTCTTATGGCCTCTGAGGCAAGAGTACCAGTCAACAGAAGAGTCAGGTCTCCAGCCTTGCCTCTAGGTGTTCACCCTGCTCTTCCTCTTCTCTTGGCTTCGGTTCAGCAAATGTTACTGAAAAATTTCCCATAGTCTTCATGGGAGCACAAGTTCTGTCCTGTCCTTTTGAATTCATTTTTAAATATCCTTGTTCGCTGGGCGTGGTGCCACACAACTATAATCCCAGCACTTGAGAAGCTGAGGCAGAACTATCACTGCATCTTCAAGGCCAGCCTGGGCTACATAGTGAATTGAAGGCTAGCCTGAACTACGTAGAGAGACCCTGTCTCAAAAAAAAGCTAAAATAAAATATTCTTGTTTATTTTGTTACAGTATGTAGCATTTACCTGCAAGTTACTCATTTTTCCCTAATCTTAGTACCCTTTGGCAACCACTGATCTTTCTCACCTACAGATTTCCCTATTTGGGGAAATCATAGGTGGAATCAGACAATATGTGGTCTTTTGTGATTGATTTCTTTCCTGTGCATAATGACTTTTAATGTATTCATAAGTCTATGTAGTAGGGAAGTACTGTACAGTAGAAGTTTTGCTTTTGTTTTGGTGGACCTGGGAATTGAACCCAGGGCCTGACTTGGTCTACATTTTAGTTTTTTGAGACAGGGTCTCTCTGTGTAGTCTAAACTACCCTCAGACTCTGTCAACCAGACTGGCCTCCAATTTATGATTCTTCTACCTCAGCCTCCCAAGTACTGGGATTATAAAAAATATTTTTTTAAGGAAAGATGTTGAAATCTTGTTTTACCACTTTAAGGAAATATGAGTAGACTGAGGATATGCATTTTACCCACAGACTCCATGGGGGCCTCTTTGTCAGAGGTAAGGTTTGAATGTTGAATTACGGGAGCTTGACTGTGATGTTTTCATGTTCTATTTACTCCATAGTTTGAGCATTTTACATTGAGTATAAATATACTGGGATTCTTAGCTAGAAAATGTAAATTCTGAATTTTATAAAAGATGTTAGCCTGTTTTTTTATTAAATTGAATTTTTGCTATTTATACATTGAAGACAAGCAGGTTTTGAAAGTATCCTATAACTCATTTTCCTAATTGAATTACTATTGACATTTGGAATCTTTGGAGATTATATTTAACAGATTAGGATCATGTATCTTATGTTGTAGGCATGTTTGTTTATTTGTAGCCATATTTCCATATCAAACTCAGTTATGCTTAAGAATTGTTTCTTTTCTCTTCCATTAATCACAAAATATTTTTTCTTAGCAAAACCATGTGGTTGGGGCAATGCAGCTCTACTCTGTGGAGAGGAAAGTCTCATAGCCCATAGAGGGCCATGCTGCTGCTTTTGCAGAGTTCAAGATCGAGGGGAATCATCAGCCGTCCACCCTTTTCTGCTTTGCTGTCCGCAGTCCTACAGGAGGCAAGGTATAATCCACTCCACTTTTTCTTCAAGAAATATTAGGAGAATTCAGTGTCATGAGTGCATCTGGGGATGCAGCATGGCCTTCAGGTGCCTGTGAATCAAGAGCTCATGCAGGATTTTGTATTCACCCTTTGTACATGCCAGTGGTTTGATAGCAAGCTAAAATCAGCTACTCATCAGTTGAACCCTTTCCCCTACAAATCCTCTTAGACCATGCTGAGATGGGCCATGAAGGAAAATGAGGCACAGTTTCTGCTCTCAGGCATCAGCCTCATGGAGGACGTGGCTCTGATAGCATGATGTGGTGCCCTCTTTGCTCTAAGGCATGGCTTCTATGCCACCCAAGGCATATTCTGCCCTGGTGGTGGTGGTAGGGTGGGAGCAAGGTGTGTCTCAGGAAAGCTGCAGAAAAGACAAGAGAGCTAGTTGACTCTTACTAGGCTCGGGGCATGGACAGGCCCCCTCCCCTTTTTTTTTGTACCAGGGATCGAACTTGGGACCTTGCACTTGCACTCCAGGCGCTGGAACCACTGAGCTAAATCCCCAGCCCATCAGCCCCTTTTTGACAGAACTGCCGTGGACAGTGGTGTGGAGTTATAAGAACTTCTACTGTTGGAGAGTCATAGGATTCTGCTGGGATTTCATCAGACACTTGGGATGATGCTTCCAGAGTCCTTTTCCTGGAACACTTGTCAAAAGCACTTCCTAGGGCCGGGGATTTAGCTCTTTGGTTCCGGTGCCTGCCTCCCAAGCGCAAGGTCCCGAGTTCGATCCCTGGTACAAAAAAAAAAAGCGCGCTTCCTGAAATAGTGTTTTGGGTTGTTTATTAGCTCTGAAGTACTCACCAAAAAGGAGTTCAGAGTTAGTATGTAGCTCCCAAACATCTTCATCTGAAACATGCTTCTTTGGATATTTTGGTCACTTATGGAATAGCACACTTAATGCCTCCTTATTTGAGAACAGTAGGAAAGTAGAAGTCAGGCCAGATGTTGGCCTTGCTGCCAGTAAAGCTGATTAAAGACACTAGTCTTAGCTTTGTGGCACCAAGAGCTGGTTACCCTATCACCTCAGATTGGGGTGTACCACTTCACAAATACAACTGGGGAATGATGGTCTTCCTTTTTAGTAGCAAAACCAGGAGCTCTCCAAAATAAGCCCTCTAGAAGCTAGGTGTGCTCAGCTTTCTCCCACATTCAGCTACCAGATGAACTGCACTCCCCTGGGGGAGCAAATGAGGGTAGAGAGGGGCCAGGAGTGGTGTTCTGAGGTGGCCTGAGAAACATGGTTCCCCTCAAAATAACTGTCTCAAATCTTGTGGCTAAGTCTGCCCTCCATTGCCGTAGTGAAGAGAGTGGGGTCCTTCTCATCTGCATTCCTTCACATGCTTTCCTTCTGAGATCAGCTGACTTTGCAGGAATAGCTCAGCAGTCTCCACATGTGGATTGGAGTTTGGTGGATCCATTCCTTATTGCTGACCTTTACACAAACAAACACCTATTCAAAGTCCTGCCCTTCTACTGCTTTCCAAGATCCATAGCTTCCATTCTCATACTTCAGGCCGGATATGTAGCGTAGTGGCACAGCACCTGCCTGGCAAGCATGAAGCCTTGAGTTCAATTCCTGGTACAAACAAAACAAAACAAAACAAAACAAAACATTCCCATACCTCCACTTTTGTTGATAGTGTCATTGTCCTTAACTGGAAGCAAGAAATCTTGAGCTTTCTTCTTTTCTGTTGTCACGGTCTGACCTTTAGCAACTCTATGTGTCTCTAAGCCTTTTGTGACTGAGCTCTTAGAGAATGGCCTGATTTTCCAGTGAGTATGTAGATATGAATGTGCTGCCCTCTAAATATCTTCCTGTTCTGAAATATCCTTTCAGGAAAAAAAAAAAAAAAGCCAAGCATAGTGGTGGTACATGCCTGGTCTGTAATCCCAGCACTCAGGAGGCTGAGGCAAGAGAATTGCCACAAGTTGAAGGCTAACCTGGGCTACAAGTCAGTTCAAGGCCAGTCTGAACTATATAGCGAGACTCTGTCTCAAAAAACCCAAAAAATAAAAATAAAATATCCATTCAGGCACCTTTTTAGGGACGGAAAACTGCGACCTACAGTTGCATCACTGATTCCCTCTACCCAAGATGTGTGATTCATTCAAACCCATTTCGAGGTCTGGGACTTTGTGTAAGATTATGTCCTCAGGCCTTCTCCACCCTTTCTTATGAAGAGGCCTCACCAGTTTTCCAGAACTACCTTTTATTTTAAAGCAGTGATGGTGAACCTTTTAGAGACCAAGTGGCCAAACTACAGGCCAAAACTCACTTGTTTAATCACATAGTGCCAGCACTGCAATTAAACCTGAGGACTGAGGTTATAGTTTAGAAACATTAAATACATTAAATACATTAAATTGCTTGTCTTAAAGGAAAAACAATAATAACTTTCAGTGATACAAACAGCTTTTTATCGAAAAGTAAAAGTTTGCAATTAGCATGTTTAGGTGCACTATTTTCCAATGCTCAGCTACTGGGGCCATGCTGAGGCAACTTGTGCCGACAGGGAGAGCTCTGCACACCCGCTGTGGCATGAGTACCATAGATTCACCACTACTGTCTTAAAGTGTCCATGTGTAAGAAGTTTACATTTCCCATGTGACCCAGAGTAGCCCCAGCATGATGCCACGTCAGCCTCCTCTTCTAGCACATCAGGGTTCTACAGAAATTCTTACCTCCCCCAGCAGAACCTTGAAGAGCTCAGGACTATGTCATGGCCAGTCATACTATCTTATGAGTTTGGCATTCAGTAAGGAGTCTTGTTGACTGAGTGGTTTGTGTTAGCCTGAGCTGTGTCTGGGAGAGGAGAGAACAGAGTTGGAATAGGTCCCAGGCCAGTTGATAACCTTTGTTTCCCAAGAATCAGTGTCAGAGTCTAGACAATGGAGACATGATTCAGCCAGCCTCCTGGTGCTGAATGTTCTCAGGTTTCCTGCCATTGGTTCTTTTTGTTGTACCTGGTGGTATGGAGCAGTTTGGTGAATAATCACAAGCATCTCAGAAAAGGGATTGTCTTATTTTGCTGGTGATGTGTGTGTGTGTGTCTGAGACAGGGCTTGCTCTGTAGTCCAGGGCAGCCTTATACTCCCTAGATTGTCTGGGCTGACCTGGAACTCAGGATCCTCCTGCCTCAGCCTCCCAAGTGCTGAGATTACAGGTGTGAGTCAACATTCCCAGTTTATTTTATTTGAATGTAAGTTTTAGTGTTTTTCATTCAGAGCTTAGAACTGAGGCTTCTGCACTTAACCACCATGCCTTGGTTAGCACCTGTCTGCCACCAGAACGTTATCTTGGATTGGTCTAAAACCTGTCCTCTGGTTGCACATAATCAAAGTTGAACAGCCTGCAGCAGGAAACCAGCCTTTTGTAAAGAAAGCTGTGGATGTGTTTTTCCCTCCACAGTCACAGACTGATTTTCCAGTGGCTATGCAGGTATGGATGTACTGCTCTTTGATTACCTTCGTGTTCTGCAATATGTATTCTGGCACCTTCTTAGGTACAGGAAGCTGCCACCTAGAGTTTGCCTCCCTGTCTTCCTCCATCCGAGATCTGTGATTCACACAAACCCATTTAGAGGCCTGGGACTTCGTGCAAGATTAGGAAAAGTCCTGCTCATAGAAGGGATTGTGCTTTGTCAGGTGGGTTAGGGCAGCATGAGACTCTTCCAACTCATACACCAAAGTCCTAGACTTTTCTCCTTTTATTATAAAAAGTTCCATGATCTGTGTGGTACAAGAATATATAAAGAAGAAAATAGTCTTCTGTAGCTGACCAGTTTAGTACATAATACATCAAAGTGCTTACTATTTGTTATATGAAAATTTAGATATAAATTTTTAAATCAAAATTAGGATCATACTATATAAGATTATATGATTGACACACACCTGTAATCCCAGCACTCAGGAGGCTGAGGCAGGAGAATCGCTTCGAGTTTGAGGCCAGCTTGGGCTACTAGTGAATTCAAGACCAGCCTGAACTACATTGTGAGACCTTGTCTCTAAATAACAAAAACAAAACAAAAGATGATATGAAATACTCTCTCTTTCACTGTTATGCTCAGTAGATTGTAGGAATTTCCATAAGGTATTTTATTCTTGTGAACATTATGGGAAATAAGCAGGTTTTTTCTTTAAAAGGTACATCATAATTGGAGGATGTTTTAGCTATTTCCTTTTTTTGTTGTTTTCAAATATCTGACATATTTACAATAATTCCTGTAATCTAGATTTCTGGCAGTAGTTACCTGGTCAAAGGATGTAATTTTTTTCCCAAGGTGAAAGTAGCTTTTTGCTATCTTATAAAGTGAAATGTTGTAAGTTGGATGTGGTGGTACACGCCTGTAATCCCAGCAGTCGGGAGGCTGAGGCAGGAGGATCACTGTGAGTTCAAGGCCAGCCTGGGTTATATAGTGAGTTCAGGGCCAGCCTGAACTACAAAAGGAGACCCTGCCTCAAAAAAGAAAAAAAAAAAAACGTGAAATGTTGTATATCAATTTCCAACATTATCAATAAATTTAGCAGCCGAGTTAAATATCTATTAAAATCCTACCATGACTGGTGATTGTCACCACCACTTTGAAAATAACTTCTTATGCACATATTTACACAGATATATACAAATAGACTCCTATAAAAATGGCTGTACACTATCTTTGGTGCTTTATGACTATCAACTATATCAAAGCCAGTTTAGGTCAATAAAATAACATTTATTTTATTGTCTGCATCATGTGTTTTGTGGATGTGCTATAACTCAAACAGTCCCATTAATGGACCTTTAGGTTTACAGTAAACACTTCAAGGAACACTGTGGTCCATGCATTTTTGTGCATTAACCCAAAAGTACAAAAATAAATTTCTGGATAGGAGACTGTGGGTCAGGGACATGTGTATGTCACTGACTCTCATGACCATACTTCTCAGTTCCCCTGCCCTTGATAGCTGGACAGTGGTCAGTGATTTTTTTCTTCCTTCTTTTCTTGTGAGAAAGAATGGGTTTACCATATGCAACTTGCTAATTGCCTTTTTCTGATCTTTGCATTTTTTTCAGCAGATCTTTATCTTTCTTTGAGTGCTTTGTAGTTGTGGAATGCTATCTGATATGTTTCTAGTATTTTTCCTAGTCATAACAAAGGTTTATTCGTGTTATATTCCATCATGTAGGATTTTTATTTTTCAGTACTAGGAATTTAACCCAGGTCCTTCACACTGAGCTATGTCCCCAGCACTTTTTTTTTTTGTACCGGGCATCAAACTCTGGTCCTTGTGCTTATGAGGCAAGCAGCGGAACCACTGAGCTAAATCCCCGGCCTTGCAGCATATTTTTTTTGAGACAAGGTCTCACTAAGTCACTAAGATGCTCAGGGTGGGCTTGAACTTGTGTTCCTCCTGGCGCAACCTCCCAGAGTGCTAGGATTATTGGCTTGTGCCACCCCACAAGGCTGAAGTTTTGCATTTTTTTGTTTATTTGTTTTTTGAGGCAGAGTCTCATTAGGCAGTTCAGGCTGTTCTTAACTCACTATATGTAGCCCAGGCTGGCCTCGAGCTCACAGTGGTCCTCCTGCCTTAGCCTTACCCTTCCGGAGTACAGCACCACCCTGCCCGGCTGAAGTTTTGCATTTTTATGTCTCTTTGGTATCATGTTTTGAAAATAATTCTGGGGCTGGGGATTTAGCTCAGTGGTTCTGCTGCTTGCCTCGCAAGTGCAAGGTCCTGAGTTCGATCTCCGGTACCAAAAAAAAAAAAAGAAAAGAATTCTGTACCCCTAAGATGATCACAATAGTCACCCATATTTTTTTATTGCTCTCTTAATTATGTTTGCTATTTAAAACCTTTGGCCATGGGCCAGGGATTTAGCTCAGTGGTTCCAGTGCCTGCCTCGCAAGCGCAAGGTCCCAAGTTTGATCCCCAGTACCAAAAAAGAAAAAATAAAAAAAACAACCTTTGGCCTGGTGGTGGGAGGAGATGGGGAAAGGAAAGAATGGAAAGGAAAAATTGTGAGAAAAGAAAAAAATAATGGAAACAAAATATGTAAATAGGGAAGGGTGGAGGGGTGAAGGGTGCACAGGTAATGGGGAAAAAAGAAGAACCAAGATACATCATGTACAGGTACAAGCACCCAATGATAAATGTAAATGTATTGTATACCTAAAATGTACCAATAAAAGAATTTAAGCAAAAAAAATTAAAAAAAAATAAAATCTTTGGTCTATCTGGAATTTACTTGAGTAAAATCAGGATACAGTTCTTTCCTCTCCATCCCAGATACATGTATTGGTTGTTTTGTTTTGTTTTTGGTTTTTTTGGTACCAGGGATCGAACTCCGGTCCTTGCATTTGTGAGGCAGGCAGCAGAACCACTGAGCTAAATCCCCAGCCCTACCATGTATTGATTAAAGTGTCTTTAGTCCACTGATGGATTATCTACTCATTCGCAATAAATTGATTCCATTTTTTTTTTTTTTTAAACTTTAAATTTTGAAACAGTCTTGGTAAGTAGTGCAGGCTGGACTTGAATTTGTGATCTTCCTGCTTCACTCTCCCAGAGTGCTGGAATTACACCCATGCCTGGCCTGATTGGTTCTTTTTCAGGATTCTCAATTAAGTTTGCTTTCTCTATGACTCTTCCTATGCTAACACCATATTTTTAACATAACTATAGGTTGGGCTGGGGATTTAGCTCAGTGGTTCCGCCACCTGCCCCGCAAGCACAAGGACCCAAGTTCAATCCCCGGTACCAAAAAAAAAAAACAACAAATAAAATAACTATAGGTTTAATAAAAATCTAATTGTCGAATTAATCTGTTTCCAACCCCTTCAAATTTTCCTGTGTGTTAAATAGTTTTTGTAAGAATTGATGGCACTTGGCAAAGGTTAATAAAGTGTGGAGGGTAGAATGGAAAGTGAAATCAGTATTTGCGGTCTTTATCTAGAACTTTCCCTTTCTTTTATGAACTTGCAGTTTGCTTATAGGAGTTTGGTGAGAAACTAGGGAAAAGTCAGGATGGTAGTGCATGCCTGTAATCCCAGCATTTGGAAGGCTGAAGTAGGAGAATTGCCACTAGTTTGAGGCCAGCTGATCTATATAGTAAGTTCAAAGCCAGCATGTGAGACCCTGTCTGAGAAAGAAAGCCACTAGGAAAAGGATGTCCCTACTTGAAAGATGTTTTAAATAGGCCAATTTTCTTGGACCTTTGCCAGTGATTGGGCAGAATATTTGCTTCAACACTAGATCAAGGTGTGGGGTAGGACTTAGAGTCCATATATTAGGGAAGCATTGCTCCCCACCAGTAATCTTGGCCTGAGGGACTCAAAAATCCTTTTCATCATTTGTGAGCTCTTTTGCCCAACTTGGCTTCTCTTTATTTTTTCTATCCTGTTATACTCTGTCTTACAGATTGAAGTTAAACTTGGTGTTATCTACTTGATCACAAAGTATGGCTACCTTCATATATATGACCTAGAGTCTGGCATGTGCATCTACATGAACCGTATCAGTGCTGACACAATCTTTGTATCTGCTCCCCATGAACCTACCTCTGGGATTATTGTTGTCAACAAAAAAGAACAGGTATGTAACTCTGAGATTTCATTTCCTACCATTTCTATTCACTGAGGACTACAGCTTAGACTTTCCTCCTCCTCCAGGAAAGTGACCAGGAAGAGTTAGCTCCTGCTATTAAAATTATATCTGTGTCTCCCTTCTTCATACCATCATTTCCCCTCTTCACCCAGCACTCTGAGAAGGGAGCAAGCAGCTCCTTCCTACATGAAGTGTCTACTAGTGGAACCACAGTTCTAACACACAGTGAATATCTTCATGCCATGCATCCACTGATTGGAGAAAGTAGGAAAAATAGATACTATGTTACCAAAGTTACCTTTCTCAAAGTTAAAAAGAGAAGAAAATATATACATTAATTTAAAAAATAATGAGAAGAGCTAGGTATGGTAGTGCATGCCTGTAATCCCAGCACTTGGGAGGCTGAGACAGGAGAATTGCCGCATATTTGAGGCCATCCTGGACTACATAGTGAGTTCAAGGCCAGCTTGGATTACATAAAGATATCCTATCTCAAAAAAAAAAAAAAAAGAAAGAAAGAAAAGAAAAGACAAGAAAGTTTGGCAGTTAAAACTGGGCAAATCATTTTAGTATCTTCAACAACATATCACTGTACGGGCCGGGGATTTAGCTCAGTGGTTCCACTGCCTGCCTCGAAAGCACAAGGTCCGGAATTCGATCCCTGGTACCAAAAAACAAACAAACAAAAAAAGCCATATATCACTGTATACACAAATCAATAAATAATATACTATATTAACAGAGCCAAGGACAAAAACCATATGATCATCTCAATAGATGCAGAAAAAGTGTTCGACAAAATCCAACATATCACGGTGATCAATGCCCACATGACTTTACATTTCTCTCACTTGATGTTTTCTTAAAATAAATTTTATTTTACCCTATTCTCCCTTCAGTCCCCCTTCATTTGATGTTTTTACAGTCTATTAAACAACTATATAGAATCTAGTGATGTCGCTATATGAAGCAGTTCTATTTAGGCACCTAGCTCCTATGTATCCTTTCACACACAGGGCCTACATCACTGGCATGTTCCACACAAGCCCGGGACCTCTGCTCAGACTGCAGTGCTATGAGGGGAGGTGGAAGAGCATGTGTGCGTGTGAGAGAAGCCCGTCTCACTTGGTGGGTCCTTACAGGTGCTGTCAGTTTGTGTTGAAGAAGAGAATATTGTGAACTATGCAACCAGTGTGCTTCAGAATCTAGACCTGGGTTTGCGCTTGGCTGTTTGTGGTAACCTGCCTGGGGCAGAGGAATTGTTTGTGAGGAAATTCAGTACTCTGTTTGCACAGGGCAGCTATGCTGAAGCTGCTAAAGCAGCAGCATCTGCACCAAAGGTAACGAAATTTGAACAGTGTATGCCATTCTGGAGATGTATGAACAAATCTAGACAGTGAAATAAATCATAAAAGCATTTCACTACTGATGTTGGAGTAATTAGTATTAATTATATTAGTGTGCTTTTTTTTAGTATATGTGCTGCTGAAGCGAGCACTAGTGTGCTTTTTTAAAATAGCAAAACACTTACTGGTACATTTTAGACATACATAATGGTAACACTCATCAGAGGGAATTTGCACCTGTACACTATACCTCCTGCCTTTTTCCCATTCCCCTCCTCCGGTCAGTGCCCCCTGTCCTCCCTATGTGCAAAAGCTTTGTTTACATTTTTCCTTCTATTTTCACTTTTTTTCTTGTCCTTTCCTTCCTTTCTCCCTCCCCCCTTCCTTGTTCCTCTTCCTATTTGAATATTTTCTTCCCATTTCCTAATATTCATTATATATTTTAGTCCTTCCTTCTACTTTCAGCTTCTCACACTAGAGAAACAATGCAGAATTTAAACATGTGTGTCTGATTTATTTCACTTAAAAGTATGGTCTCAAGATGCATCCATTTAGCTATAAATGTCTCAAGCTCACCTTTCTTTATGGCAGAGTAGTACCCATGGTGTAAAAAATTATCTTTATCAGTTCATCAGTTAATGGGCATTTGGGCTGCTTCCGAGATTTAGCCATTACAAACTGTGCTGTTATAAATATGGGTGTGCATATATTGCTGTGGTATGATACTTTTAATTCTTTTTTTTGGATTTCTTATTCTTTCTTTCTTTCTTTATTTATTTGGTACCGGGGATCAAACTCGGGTCCTTGTGCTTGCACAGCAGGCGGTGAAACCACTGAGCTAAATCCCTGGCCCGATGCTTTTAATTCTTTTGGGAAAATACTTTTTTTTTTTGGTACCGGGGATTGAACTCGGGACCTTGCACTTGCAAGGTAGGCGCCAGAACCACTAAGCTAAATCCCCGGGCCTATTTCGGGAAAATACCAAGAAGGAGAATACCTGGCTCAAATGGAACCTCTAGTTTTACTCTTTTGAGAATCTCCACACTGATTTCTACAGTGGTTGCACCGGTCTACACTACCACCAACAGTGGAGAAGTTTTCCTTTTTTTCCACAACCCCTGTAGCATTTGTTATTGGTTGATTTTTTTTTTTTGGTACTGGAGGTCAAACTCAGGACTTTGCACTTGTGAGGCAGGTGCGGTGCCACTGAGCTAAATCCCTGCGCCTATTATTGGTTGATTTGTGATAACAGCAGTTCTTTCTGGAGTGAGATGGAATCTCAGAGTTGTTTAAATTTGCATCTCTCGAGTGACCAATGATGTTGAACATTTTTTTCATATATTTATTTACTGTTTCCACTCTTCATCTGAGAAGTGTCTTTTCATTTCATATACCCATTTTTGTATTGGGTCTTTAAATTTGGGGGGGTCTGATTTTTTTTTTTAATTCTTTATATATTCTAGATAGTTGCCCTTTGTCTGAGGAAGAGCTGGTAAAAAATTTTTCTCACACTGTGGGCTGTCTCTTCACTCTGTTGGTGGTTTCTCTTGCTGTGCAAGAGCCTTTTAATAAGATGAGGTCCCAGTTGTTGATTCTTTGTAGTAGTTCCCATTTGGTCTGGGTTTTGTTCATTTAGTCTTTTCCTACTCCTATGTCCTCAAGTGTTCTACCTATTCTCTCTTTCAGCAGATTTAGTGTTTCTATCTTAGTATTTAGATCTTTATCCATTTTAATTTTAGGTTAGTGCATGGTGAAATATGGATATGGTTTCAATCTTTGGCATGTGGAAAGCCATTTTTCCCAGCACCATTTATTAAAGAGGCTATCTTTCTTCCAGTGAAGGTGTTTGGCTCCTTTGTCAAAGATAAGGTGGCTGAGTATGTCTGGAGTTGTTTCTGCATCTTCTAATCTGTTCCCTTGATCCTCCGGTCTGTTCTTTTGCCAGTACCAGGCTGTTTTTATCACAGTAGCTGTGTAGTATAATTTCAGGTCAGGGATTGTGATGCCCCCTACCTTGCCTTCGTTGCCCAGAATTGCCTTTGCTATTCTAGGTCTCTTCTGATTCCAAATGAATTTTAAGATTGTTTCTTCTAATTCTGGGAGATATGCTGTTGGAATTTTGATTGGATTGCATTGAATCTGTATTAACAATTTTGGAAGTATGGCCCTTTTGACTATATTATAGGTTCTTCCTATCCAAGAACAAAGGATGTCTTTCCATTTTCTGATATCCTCTTCAATCTCCTTTTTCAGAGTACTGTAGTTTTCTTTTTTGGGGGGAGGAGTTTATAAAAGCCCTTTTATAAAGCCATTTTTAAACAAAACAAAAAAGTTTACAAAAGAAAAAAAAGATACAGAAAAAGAATAACTTGCTTCAAATATCCCCAAAGAGAAAAATAAAGGGGACAATGCCAACATGCTTAATGATAAGGGGTTCTTTTTCTTTTTCTTTTTTTATAAGGTAACCTTCAGGTTAGGAGATGATTTTATTTATTTTTATTTATTTATTATTGTTATTATTTTTTGGTACCAGGGATCAAAGTCGGGTCCATGCGCTTGCGCAGCAGGCGGCGAAACCGCTGAGCTAAATTCCCGGCCCCATTTCTTTTTTTTTTTTTAATACAAAATACAAGCAAAGGATATGCAAACTTAAAACAAAGCTCAGGAGCTGACACGCAGTCCTGGAAACCTTGTAGTTTTCAATGTAGAGGTCTTTTACTTCTTTCATTAGATTGATTACTAGGTATTTCTTTTTGGGGGGCGGATGCTATTGTGAAAGGTGTTGTTTCTCTAATTTCTCTCTCAGTGAGTTTGCTATCCGTGTACAGGAAGGCTGTTTATTTTTCAGTGTTGACTTTTTATCCAGCTGTGCTGCTGAATGTGGTTATCAAATCTACCAGTCTTTTGGAGGAGCTTTTGGGGTCTTTTATGTAGACTCTTAGGTCATCTGCAAATAATGATGATTTAATTTCTTCCTTTCCTATCCTTTTATTTCTTTGTCTTGTCTAATTGCTCTGGCTAATGTTTCCAGAACTATATTGAACAGGAGTGATGACAGTGGACGTCCTTGTCTTGTTCCTGATTTTCTCTCCCAACCCACCCCACCCCTGTACCAGGAATCAAACTCAGGACCTTGCACTTGGAAGGCAGGCACGGCACCACTGAGCTAAATCCCCAGCTGTTGTTGATTTTAGAGTAAAAGCTTTTAATTTTTGTCCTTTAGTATGATATTGGCTGTTGGTTTGTTGTAAATGACTTTTATCAGATTGAGATAAAGACCATCTATACCAATTTTCTGTAGTGTTTTTATCATGAATAGGTGTTTGACCTTGTCATATGCTTTTTCTGCATCTGTTGAGAGGATCATACAGTTTTTGTCCTTGGATCTGTTAATATATTGCATTAGTTATTGATTTGCATATGTTGAACCACCTCTGCATCCCTGGGATGAATTCTACTTGGTCATGGTGTGTAACCTTCTTGATGATTTGCTGCACTCTGTTTGCCATTATCTTATTGAGAATTTTTGCATCTATGTTCATTAGGGAGATTGGCTTGTAGTTCTCTTTTTTGTTGGATCCTTCTCTGGTTTTGTTACTGGGGTAATGCTTGCTTCCAGGAATGAATTTGGGAGTATTGCTTCCATTTCAATTTCATTAAAAACATTTGAGAAGTAGTGGCATTAGATCTTCTCTAAATTTCTTGTAGAATTTAGTCATGAATCCATCAGGGCCTGGGCTTTTCTTTGTTGGTAGATTTTTAATTACATCTTCAAATTTCATTGGCTGATATTGGTTTATTTAGAATTTTTATATTGTTTTGATTCAGCTTTGGTAATTCATGTGAATCTGTCCATTTCTTCTGTATTTTCCATCTTATTAGAATATAGGTTCTTGAAGTAGGTATTGATGATCTGGATTTCTGCAGGGTCTGTTGTGATTTCACCTTTTTCATTCCTAATTTCATGGATTTGAGTCTTTCCTGTTTTTGATAAGCTTGGCTAAACATTTTTCCATTTTATTTAATCTTTCAAAGAACCAACTCTTCGATTCATTGATTCCTTTATTTTTGCGGTACTGGGGATGGAACTTGGGACCTTGTGTTTGTGAGGCAGGTGCAGCACCACTGAGCTAAATCCCTGGCCCTTCATTGATTGTTTATATTGTTTTTTCAGTCTCCATTGCATTAATTTCTGCTCTGATCTTCATAATTTCCTCTCTAGTGCAAGCTTTGGGCTTGACTTGCTCTTCTTTATCTAGAATCTTGATGTTCAACATTAGGTTGTTTATGTGAGCCCGCTGTTTTCCTGGTATAGCTATTTACCGCTGTAAATTTCCCTCATAGGACTGGTTTCATTGCGTCCCACCTTGGCTAAAGTAGTGTAATCAACAGTAGTCACCTTGTGTCTGCAGGGTTGACCTGGTGTTCCCATGCCGTGAGACTGGACTCTGGGAGAGAGCGCTGCTTGCCACCTCCCTCCTCTTCATTGACGTCTCTTTCTACGCTCACCCCATGGACTTCAATTTTCACTTCAGATTCTTCTTGGGTCCAGGGGACCTACCTCCCTCCTTCTCCCCCTCACACCACTATATTCCAGTGTCAGAACACCAAATCTCATAGAAGCTCTTTCTCTCCTGCTCACCACTCTGCCTTCTTTCTGGAAGTCTGTATTAGTGTGCTTTTTTTCTTCAGTTCAAATTTTTGTACCAATGCATAACCATAATGGAAAGAAACAAACAAAAAACACAACCTTGCTGCACTAATATTCTCTTCTTCCATGTATTTGTGTTCTTATCTGTGTAAGTGCATATTTTGGTTTTTGGTACCGGGGATTGAACTTGGGTCCTTGTGCTTGTGCAGCAGGTGGCGAAACCACTGAGCTAAGCTCCCAGCCCCTGTACGTGCATATTTTTTACCTAGCATCTTATGTACAGTTTCTCCTTTGGGTGACTCAGATTTTCCACTGTTGCTGCCTAATTGTTTTCGGGGATTGAACTCGGGTCCTTGTGCTTGCGCAGCAGGTGGCAAAACCACTGAGCTAAATCTTCGGCCCGCTGCCTAATTGTTATATCTATAACTATAACATATCAGATGGTTGTATCTACTCTTTTTAGCAACAGTCCTAGAGTAGACTTTTTACCTCCGGGGTTTTCTTTGGTTTATTTCATTAGGATAAATTGATCTACTCCTGAGTAAAGACTTTTAAATTCCCTCTGTGTTTTTTTTTTCATCATTTTAGTTCATTAGTACATGAGTATAGTACATTTTCCTTGAGGGAAGTTGGTACATGTACATAACACTCTTAATTCCTTTTTTCATCCCTTTTCCCTTCCCTCTCTCCTGTCTCCGCTCATCGCTTCATCCTCTTCCTATTTTTTTTTTTGGTACGTTTGCAGTATATATGTTTGCATTCCTTGTGTGGAGTTGGTACATGTACATCATACATCTCAATTCCTTTTTTCATCCCTACCTCCTTCCTCTCTTCCCTACCCCTCCGTCTCTTGATCCCCTTCCCCTTTGAGAATGATCAGTCTCCCTCCTGAGTTTCTCATTTAAGAGAAACAATGTGATAGTTAAGTTAGTGTGTCTGATTTATTTCACTTAGCGTTATGGTTCAAGTTGCTTCTCTTTGAAAGAATTGTTTCTATCTTTCAATTAATGGTTTTGAATAAACCTTTTTTCTCTCTCTCTCCTCCCCCCCCCCTTTTCTTTTCTTTTCTTTCGACAGGGCCTTGCTATATAATTCAGGCTGACCTTGAACTCATTGTATATCCCTGGCTAGCTTCAAACTTGTGGGAATTCTCTTGCCTCAGCCTCTTGAGTCCTGAGTGCTGGGGTTACAGGCATGCACCATCACACCTGGCTCTAAACAAACTATTTCTAATGTTCATCTGGGACTCTTAATACTTTGTTGGGGCCCAGGTACAGCTAAGATTTTTTTTCCAGTACTGGGGATCAAACTCAGGACCTTGGCGCTTGCCAGGCAGGCGTAGCGCCACTGAGCTACATTCCTGGCCTTTGAATACTTTGAATTAAAACATAATGGTGTTTGGGTTGGGGATTTAGCTCAGTGGTTTTGCCACCTGCTGCGCAAGTGTAAGTACCCGAGTTCGATCCCCGGTACCAAAAAAAAACCCATAATGGTGTTAGAATTTCACTACTACAAAACGAAGTTAGAGAACTAATTCTCACAGAAGCATGCTAGTGGAGAAGTAAGAGGTGAAGTCACCCTGGGAGATAGATTTTCTATTACAATTATTGATGGATTTGAAAGCACTTGGTTTGGTAGAGGACTTTTTGTCCCTTCAAGTCAATGTAGAAGTCCATTGGCAGATTCTTTTAAAATGTAAGCAAGTTAAGTATTAGGATGCCCTGTGATTACAGCAGAAAATACGTGCATTTCCATTTATTTTCAGGGAATTCTGCGTACCAGTGACACGATCCAGCAGTTCCAGAGTATACCTGCCCAATCAGGCCAAGCCTCTCCTTTGATCCTGTACTTTGGAATCCTGCTTGACCAGGGTCAGCTTAATAAACTTGAATTCTTAGAGCTTTGCCGGCCTGTTCTTCAGCAGGGACGAAAGCAACTCTTAGAAAAATGGTTGAAAGAAGATAAGGTATGAGGCAAGAGGATTGTTTTGAGTTTGAGGCCAGCCTGGGCTACAATAGTGAGTTCAAGGCCAGCCTGAACTATGTAGTGAGATCCTGTCTCAAAAAATCAAACCAAGAGCTGGGAATTTAGCTCAGTGGCACCACGTCTGCTTCACAAGCACAAGGTCTGAGTTCAATCCCTGGTATCACACACACACACACACAAAAAATCAAACCAATGGCCAGGTGTGGTGGCACACACTTGTAATCCCAGCAACCAAGGAGGCTGAGGCAGGAGGATCACTGCAAGTTCAAGGCTAGTCTGGGCTACATAGTGAGTTCAAGGCTGGCCTGAACTGCATAGCAAGACTGTCTCAAAAAAGCAAAACAGGGCCAGGGATTTAGCTCAGTGGTTCTGCTGCTGGCCTTGCAAGTTCAAGGTCCTGAGTTGGATCCCCGGTACCAAAAAAAAAAAGACTGAAGACAAGGTCACAGGAACATTACTCCTTAGGTCCTAATTGTGCCTTTTCCTTTGCCATACACAGCTGCAGTGTTCAGAGGAGCTGGGAGATTTGGTCAAAACTTCTGACCCTACACTCGCTCTGAGTGTGTACCTTCGAGCAGATGTGCCAAGCAAAGTTATCCAGTGTTTTGCAGAAACTGGCCAATTCCAGAAAATTGTGCTCTATGCCACAAAGGTAATGGCTGTCTAAGCATTGATGTTGGATTGTGGGTGAATGGTTGTTGTATATGGAGTTTATAAAATACTTTCTATATGAATATTTTGGTGTGCAAGAATTGTCAGTACTGGGCCGAGGATATAGCTCAATGGCACTGCGCCTGCCTGGCAAGCACAGGGTGCTGAGTTCAATCTCCGGTACCGGGGCCGGGAATTTAGCTCAGTGGTTCCAGCGCCTGCCTCAAGCGCAAGGTCCAGAATTTGATCCCCGGTACCAAAAAAAAAAAAGAATTGTCAGTGCTAGCTGGGCATGGTGACGCACTCCTGTAATCCCAGCACTCCAGAGGCTGAGGCCAGAGGATCGCCACAAGTTTGAGGCCAGCCTGGTCTACATAGTGAATTCAGGGCCAGCCTGAATTACAAAGCGAGACCCTGTCTCAAAAAAAAAGAATTGTCAGTGCTGACGACCAGGCACCGGTTGGGTAAGAAAAGGTCTACTACTACTTCCTTGTCAGGCAGGAAGGTTGCCTTCTTAGATTTGGGAGACAGCCTTGGGTCTGCTTGGCGGATGTCCAACTAGTTGGAGATTGAGTCATGTTTGTAGCTGGGGTTATATGGGACTAGTACTAAACTGAAACCCTGGAGTTGAGAGACGAAAAAATACAAGTGGCTAATAAATACATTAAAAAATGTTCAACATTGCTGGCCATTTGGGAAGTACAAATTAAAACAACATTAAGATTCTATTTCACCCCAGAAAGAATAGCTACTATCAATAAATCAACCAATAACAAATAAATGCTGGCAAGGCTATGGAACACTTCTTCATTGTAGGTTGGAGTGTAAACTGATAGAACCACTATGGAAATCAGTATGGTAATTCCTCAGAAAACTAAACATAGAAATTCCATTTGACCCAGGTATACCCCTTGTATGTATTTTCCCAAAAGAGTTAAAAACATCATACCACTGCCAGGCATGGTGGTACACACCTGTAATCCCAGCACTCAGGAGGCTGAGGCAGGAGAATTACTGTGAGTTCGGGACCAGTCTGGGCTACATAGTAAGTTCAGGACCAGCCTGAACTACAAAGTGAGACCCTGGCAAAAAAAAAAAAAAAAAAATCAATCATACCACAGTGATGTACATATATCCATGTTTATTTATTTATTTATTTTGGTACTGGGGATCGAACTTGGGACCTTGGACTTGCGAGGCAGGCTGCGGCACCACTGAGGTAAATCCTTAGCCTTATACCCATGTTTTATAGCAGCACAATCCATAATACTTAAATCTTAGGAACAACCTATATGCCTATCAACAGATGAATGGATAAAGAAAATGTGATGGTACTGGAGTACTACTCTGCTATAAAGAAAGATGAACTTGAAGCATTTGTAGAAAATTGGATGCACCTTGAGACTATAATGTTAAGTGAAGTAAATCAGACACATAAGCTTAAATATCACATGGTTTCTTTTGTATGAAAAAGTTAATATATAAATAAGGTATGAAAAGACAGATAATAGGAAGAGAGAGAAAAAAATAATTGTATTCTGAATACATGTATTTCTGCTATGGGTTTCTAGTTTCACTCCACTGTGGTATGAGAGCTCACATTGCAGGATTTCCATTTCTTTGGCTATGTTAAGGTCTCTATTGTTGCTATGAACATGGTCTATTTTTGAGTTACTTTTTCTGATTGGTGTTTCCTCACTTCCAGGTTGGTTATACCCCAGACTGGATATTTTTGCTGAGAAGTGTGATGAGGATCAGTCCCAAACAGGGTCTGCAGTTTTCCCAAATGCTGGTGCAGGATGAGGAACCATTGGCCAGCATAAATCAGGTAAGCACAACCTGGTGGGTCAATATTTTGTGCCTTTTTAGAGCCATCAAGAGGCGATCCCCCCCGCCCCCCGCTTTTCATCCCTCCCTTTCGCTCCTTCTCCCTCTCCCTCTTTCTGTGTTTCATGGTACCAGGGATTAGACCCAAGGTCTTCACACTGAGCTACAGGTCTTGCTGAGTTGCCCTGGCTGGGCTCCAACTCTCAATCCTTAGCCTCCAGAGTCCTGGAATTATAGGTATGCGCCACCATGCCTAGTTTACCTTTGTTCTGAAATATGTTGAAGGATTTGTGTGTCTAGTTTAAAGGCTTTGTTTTTTGAAATAGTGATTGTTATTAGGGTATGAGGATGTCATTTGAGCATGGTAGCCCATTCTTCACATCATCCATTACCACCTTACTATCTCTTTATGACACACAGCCTGAACTCTGCCTGAGCACTAACGCAGATGCTGTCAATTTACTCAGATTTGCCTCTTGTAGGTGTCTGCCTGCCTTGGATTTATGTAGAGACCAATCTGTTTAGTGTAACTTATTTAATATTTAGGTGTAAACACATAGCAAGTAACTTCAGTGAACTTTTAAGGAACTTCTGGGTAATAATGTAGTTAGGCAGCAAAGCTTGAAACAGGGCAACAAAACTAACAACTTGCCTAGAAATAATAAGTGCAATTATATTGGGTTTGTACGTTTGTAAATTTGCAGATATTTACTGATTGTGGATAAGAATTTTGAGCCAAATTTACTTAGCTCTCAATGGGAAAGAAGACTTCATTTTAAATCTTTTTTTTTTTAATAGAAAATCATCTCCAAAAAAAAAAGAAAATCATCATTTTACGCATAAGGAGATCAAGAGTACATACACAAACTCAATGATAAGGTTATGTTTACAGCTCATTTCCTCTCTTGAATTGCAGAATTTCAACAGTATATAATAACTACTGTTAGAGCAACACATGAGAACTTTAGCTAAAGTTGCAAGGACAAAAACCCTGTACAAGTACCCAAACTTCAGTTAAGACTACAGAAAAATAAAGCATTTTTCCTTCCAAAAAAGGTATCTAAAGACAATAGTTCAGGTACCCCATGTATATTAGTCACATGTCACATGAATCAAGCTTTTCTGTATTCCTTAAATAAAATTTTATAATCAGTTGATGAAAAAACAAGTTTCATATTCAAAAACACTTTCAGAATGCATCTATAATTAACTTACAGTAGTCCTTCTTTAGTTTTTATTTTAGTGGTGTCCAAAATAGTATATGGAAAACTCTAGGAAGAAATAATTCCGAAGTTTAAGTTGTATGTCATTCTGAGTAGTCCAGTGAAATCTTATACTCTTCTGCTCAAAACATAAATTACACCTTTGTCCATGGTATCCACACTAGTATTTAAGTAGCTGTCTCAGTTATTGGAGTGGCTGTCAAGGAACCGCAGGGTTCAGCACTATCTTTGGTTTCAGATATCCACTGTGGGTCATGGAATATATCCCTGGTAGATATGGGGCAACTACTTTATTCATAAAAGAGGCCTATTTTTAAAAGTTATTGAATTGAAGTCTTTAAGTATAGGACATTTTGTTATTTTTGTTACATCTTCTTACGCATTTCTTCAAGAGCTGCTTCTTTCTCTCTCAGCACCTGTTTAAGTCTTCTTATTTTTTCATCTCGGATGGTTTCTTCCAGTTCTGGTAGTATCACTGGGAAAATATCTTCAGTATAACTTTTATTAAAGAAATGACTTTGGAGCCAGGGATTTAACTCACTGGTTCCAATGCCTGCCTTGCAAGCACAAGGTCCTGAGTTCAATCCCCGGTACCCCACCCCCCCAAAAAAAGAAATGACTTTGGTCAAAAATTAAATTTGAGTTCAGTGCACCTTTCTGCTACTTCTCTTGGGAACAGTGTTTTATATCAGTTCTCTTTTCTTCTCTGGTTTTGCTGTGACTTGGGAGAATGTTATATTGTGGTATATCTGAAGTTGGCAAAATACTGCTAAGGGGTTCAGAAGTGGTGACATTTGTTTCCCCATTAGTGACTGTGTTAAAAGCCCTCTCAGTTTTTCTCTTCTTTGTGTGATCCATCTTCTTAATGGTTTTTACTTTTCTTTTCTTTTACCAAAATTCTGTTTGTTTTCCTCTTCCTTCACTACAAACTCTGTCTCTTTGTATGTACCACTCTTCACCAAACTGCTAAAGTAATCACAATCTTTTCCAGAGTCCAAATGGTCAGGAATTTGAGTAAGGCAAACTCTCAAATCTTTAGTGAGACCAAATATCTTTTTAAATTCAGCATCACTCTTCAAATATGATGATGTCTTATTAATGCTTTCTTGAGAATCTTTCTCCTCCTTGCTTCCTTGAATACAGTTTTCTAATGTTGATGCCATTTCATTCTGAATCAATGCGAGGCATTGCCTGAATTTTCCTCAGCAGATTTCAGGAAGACCCTCTGTAGGTTATTGGACATTTTAGATGGGTGGAGGACAATACATCTAGGACCGTGGGTAGTATAGTGCCAGTGTTCTCATACAGGAGAGAACCAGAGTGAGAGAATATTGTGCTGCAGTTGCCAGCAACTATAGAGAGTGCCAGAATTCATTTTAAATCTTGATTGCATTTCAAAAAGTTTTTTAAACTTCTCTCATGTACTTTAAGTATGGAAACAATTACATAGGTGCTAAATTTATTACTTATATTTCTCTTACTATTAAAGTTTAGTTATTTCTTAAGTTAGCATCCATTTAACTTTTAATAATTGATGCCTGAGTAAATGTTGCATTTTTCCATTTGTGCCTGAATAATGATGATATATGAGCCAGCCACCACCAAGTATTGGCTCTCTTTAGGTTTGATTAATTGTTGTTTGATTGTTTGGATCACTTCAGAGGATTCTGGTTGCTCATGTTATAAAGTTTCTCTTTTTGTGTGTGTGCCGGGGATCAAACTCAGGTCCTTGCGCTTGCAAGGCAGGCGGCGGAACCACTGAGCTAAATCCCCGGCCTAAAAAGTTTCTCTTTAATCCACGACACTATTTTGTCCTGTTGATGAGTATCACATCAGAGATGTGATTTAACAAAATTACCTTTTTTTTTGGTACTGGGGATCAAACTCAGGACCTCATGCTTGCCAGGCAGGCGCTGTGCCACTTAGCTACATCCTGGCCCTCAAAATTACTTTTTAATAAATAATGACTGTGAATTTCTTGAAATTTGAATATATAAGAAAATGCAAAGGAGGGAACTAATTACTGAATTTCTAACTGAGATTCTATTTCAGGAACTATTTCAATAGGAAAATAAAACACTGATTCCTTTGAATGAAAACATGGCTTGGATCTTTGCAGATTGTGGACATTTTCATGGAAAACAGTTTAATTCAGCAATGTACTTCCTTCTTGTTGGATGTCTTGAAGAATAATCACCCAGCTGAGGGGCATCTCCAGACTCGGCTGTTAGAGATGAATCTGATCCATGCACCCCAGGCAAGTGACAGCTCCAGGCTAACACCAAGGAGCAGAACACCTGCCACCCCTCTGTGTGGGCCGTGTGTAGCTGAGTACAGGGGTTGACTGGCTGTGCTTTCACCAACGCTTCATCTTGGTACTTTTCAGTGGACATTCTCTGTGACTTTCTGACCAGCTTCTCCAGAAGTCATGGTACAAGATTTTCATGGAAACAGTTACAATCGGGAATCTTTTCTTGTTTTTTTCCATTTTTCTTTGTGAGAAATATGTATAACAGAGCTTACCATTCTCACCATTTTTAAATTAGTAGGGATTTTGTTTTGTTTTGTTGGTATCAGGAATCAAACTCAGGGCCTCATGCTTGCCAGGCAGGTGCTGTACCACTGAGCTACATCCCTGGCTCCACATTCACAGTTTTTGTTTTTTGTTTTTTTGGTACCGGAGATCGAACTCGGGCCCTTGCACTTGCGCAGCAGGTGGCAAAACCACTGAGCTAAATCCCCGGCCCCATATTTACAGTTTTTAAATGTATAATGAAGTATCATTAAAAACACAACCGGGTCGGGGATTTAGCTCAGTGGTTCTGCTGCCTGCCTTGCAAGTGAAAGGTCCTGAGTTCGATTCCTGGTACCAAAACAAAAAAAAAAACAACAACACACACACACAACCATCACCACCATGTATTTCCAGAACTTTTTTTTTTTTTGGTACTGGGGATTGAATCCAGGGCTTCATCCATGGTAAGAAAACACACTACCAACAAGGCAGATCTTTAGTCTTTTTTAAATTTTATTTTGAGACAGAGTTTCAAGTTGCCCAGGCTGGCCTCGAACTTGGTAGTCCTTCTGTCTCAGCTTCCCAAGTAGTTGGGGTAACAGGCATGCACCACCCAGCTATTTCTATAATTTTTCATCATCCCAGAAAAGAATGATGTAACTACTACCTGTAACTCGCTATTCTCTCCTGTCCCCAGTATTCTGCCAACCAGCATTCTACTCTGTTTCTATAAAAATGGCTATTCTAGTTAGTTCATATAAATGAAATCTTAAAATATTTGTGGTTTTGTTTGGCTTTTGTTTTTACTTAGCATGTTATTTTCAAGGTTTACCCATATTATTGGAATTTTTTTTTCTTTTTTTTGAGACGAGGTCTTACTATGTAGTCCAGACTGGCCTCAAATTCACAGTTTTCCTGCTTTGACCTCCTGAGTGCTGATATTACAAGCATGTGCCACCACACCCAATAAAAATTCCAACTTTTTTTTTTTTTGGTACCGGGGATCGAACTCAGGTTCTTACGCTTGTGCAGCAAGCGGCGAAACCACTGAGCTAAATCCCCCATCAAAAATTCCAACTTTTTAAATTAAAAAAAAATTTTTTTGTCTTTTTGAGACAGGGTCTCACTATGTAGTTCATGCTCACCTTGATTGAATTCACTGTATAGCCCAAGAGAAACTCAACAGTCTGACCCCAAGGAGCACCCACATCCCAGGGGGTATGCAAGCATTTGGGCATGGTGAGGGCACAGTGCGCAAAATAGTGAGGCAGTCTTCTCTGGATGACAGCCACTGGGTGATACTTCTGTCTTTGCTCATCTGTGCCGTCTAAATTCTCTAAAACAAATCACTGTAGTGATGCAAACCTATAATCCCAGCCCTTGGGACACTGAGGCAGGAGGCTTACAAGTTCAAGGCCAGCCTGGACCATGTAGTAAGACACTGTCCCTAAAATAAACACAAAAGCAAAACTCTCTAGAACACATTGTTACTCTGATAAAGGGACGATATTAAAAAGAAGATAGTAAGGAAAGATCAGAAGCAAAGAAAGGACAGAGGAAGCAGTTAAGTGGCAGGTGCTCTGAAGCTTAGGAATTGGGTTTATCATTAATTCCATGGGGAACCATATGGGTAGTGCTGGAGCAATGTGGTAACAGCTGTGTGTCCAGTCCCATACTTGGTCAGTGTTTTGCTTTCTAGAAAGGGTAGGAAAGTATGCTGGCTGCAGGTGAAGGCATCCACGAATGTATCTTGTCAGAAGTAGCTACTAGGGCCGGGGATTTAGCTCAGTGGTTCCGCTGCCTGCCTTGCAAGTTCAAGGACCCGAGTTCAATCCCCGGTACCAAAAAAACAAAACAAAGAAGTAGCTACTAGTTAGAGATAAACAGTGAGATCACTCTGCAAGGCTTCAGGGTTGGTATGTTGACTGATCCATTCTTTTTTTTTTTTTGGTACTGGGGATTGAACTCAGGACCTTGCATTGCTGGCAAGGCAGGTGGCAGCACTCCTGAGCTAAATCCCCAGCCCTGACAAATGCATTCTTAGCCCACAAAGCTTTTTGGTTTTTAGTTTTTTGGTTTTTTGGTTTTTTTTAGGGGGGAGACAGGGTCTCGCTATGCAGTTCAGACTGGCCTTGAACTCACTATGTAGCCCAAGCTGGCCTCCTGCCTCGATTCCCAAGTGCTGGGATTATAGGAATGCACCACCATGTCTACTCCCACAGGGTTTTAAAAGATATGGTCAGCACCCCATAAGGAGTGGTTCCTGAGCCGCACCCTACCATAGGGGACATGGTTGAGCAGCTGTTCTTAAAAAGTTATTATCACTGGGCCAGGGATTTAGCTCAGTGGTTTCGCTGCCGGCTGCGCAAGCGCAAGGACCCGAGTTCGACCCCTGGTACCAAAAAACAAAAACAAAACAAACAAACAAAAAAAGTTATTATCACCATCAGGCTTTCTTACTGGAGTTGCTGTTTCACAGGTTGCAGATGCCATCTTTGGAAATCAGATGTTTACACATTATGATCAGGCCCACATTGCCCAGCTCTGTGAGAAGGCGGGTCTCCTACAGCGGGCATTGGAGCACTACCCTGACCTCTATGACATCAAGAGGGCTATGGTCCATACTCACCTCCTCAATCCTGAGGTATAATATACCACTGGGATGTTTCCCTTGCGGCTAGTGTGTGTAGTCCTTTGTGTCACTTGCTCTCAGTATCTGTTTGGGATTTGGGGATCAGGTGTGAGCCTGCTATGCTTTTCTGCCAAGAGCATAGCTATCTATGCGTAGCAGTGTGTCTAGGCCCCATGTCACTTTTTTCCCAAATTCCTGCCTCTGACTTAGTCTAATAGGAGGAATAAAGATAATCTTTTAACACTGACAACCTTTAGTACTTCTGAAACCATTAACAAAACTAAATTAGCTCATGTTTCCATTTACCAAATAGTTTTTGATATCAACTGTGAACTATTCCAGGATGAATAATTCTGTTTTGTTTTTGGTACTGGGGATCAAACTCAGGACCTTGAGCTTGTGAAGCAGGTGCGACGCCACTGAGCTAAATCCCCAGCCTAAGAATGAATAGTTTAAGTTCTTATCTTATTCAGTTTTCTCCTTGTTCCCACTTTTCACCATGATAGATGGTTGCTTTTCAGTCCTGTTAAGTAGAAATTCTGTACACTTGTGATACTTCGGATGGAGCAAGACCTGATGACCTAATTATGTCCCTAGTGTTATCGGCATTTACAGTAGTCCACAGCTCCACAGCTGCATACAGACTCCTTCTTTGTTCCCAGTGGCTTGTCAACTTCTTTGGCTCCTTGTCAGTGGAGGACTCTCTGGAATGTTTGCGTGCCGTGCTGTCTGCTAACATCAGACAGAATCTTCAGCTGTGTGTGTAAGTGGCCTCCAAGTACCATGAGCAGCTGGGCACAGGGTCCCTAGTGGAGCTCTTTGAATCTTTCAAGAGTTATGAAGGTAAATTGTACAGCTCTCCCACCTTGCTACTGCACCTGCTTTCCTAGATGCTGCTAGCTGCTCAGTCAAGGGAAAAATATTACTACTATCTCATGTATATTACTACTATCTCATGTATATTACTAAATTTCAGTAACCTTTCAGGTGTTTCCACAGAAAGAAATCAGATTGGTTTGAATTGGGGTGGAGAGACTTAGAATCCCCCTTGCATTCCTAAAGTCTGTGAAGCCCTGTGTCTCTGTGAAGCACAGTCTAGCACAGAATTTATCTCACATCCTGTACTGTTTGTCCAGGGTACTAGTGGAAGGGCCTGGTATCTGATCTAAGCAGACCTGAAAGGGTAGCTCCTTTGTTCTCTCCTGAGTGACATCACACAGTGGAGGGGCTACCATTTTGTGGTGTGTGTGAAGCAGTTACCTTCCTTTCCCTTCTGTGGGTGTCACACCCACAGGTAGAATGACTTTGTTGGGAACAAGTTAGGTCTTTTTTGGGGAGCCAGGGCAGAACTTCATGTGGATGAAGAGGTTTGAGTGGGCCATGGGTACTGGGATGTGGAGAAAGGTCTTTGCAGTCTCAGCCATCAGGAAAAGGTAGACAGCAATCATGGAGAAGGCAGGTAAATGTTAGGAGGAAAAACATGGAGGAGTCTCTTTTCATAGGCCTCTTCTACTTCCTGGGCTCAATTGTGAACTTCAGCCAAGACCCAGATGTGCATCTGAAGTACATTCAGGCTGCCTACAAGATAGGACAAATCAAAGAGGTGGAGGGGATATGTCGTGAGAGCAGCTGCTATATCCCAGAACGGGTGAAGAACTTCCTGAAGGTGTGTCCAGTAACACCTCCCTACACAAGCTGCTCTCCCAGGTAGCAGAGGCGGCCATACTCATAGCCAACTGTCGTAAAAGGCAAAAAGCTGGGTTTGTCCAGACTGTGTTTCCATAGTCTCCAATGCAGATCTCTACCTTAAAGTCTAAGGTTCTTAGAAGAAAAAAAAAAAACATTGTGGAAAGAAGCACCAAGCTGTCTATACTCTTGTTATCCAGCACACGAGTGGAGGGAGTTGCCGTGTTCCTGAATTGTATTTCAGCAGTGTCCCTACTGTGTCCCTGTTGATTAGACTCAGGAAGGTGGAGTAATAAAGAGACCACTCAGTGCTAGAGCCATGAAGAACAAGTCTGCTTGTTCCTCATGCAGCAGTCCTGGTTGTCAGTTGGAGTGAATGGGACAGCTTTTGTTGCCACCATCCTTAAAACACTAGGCACATGGCTGCTTGACCATCTTGTGCAGTGTGTCTTAAATGGTGACTTCTTGGCAACTGAAAGAAGAGAAAAGTACTGAATAATAGAGCAAGTGGTTTTCTTTCCTTCTTTCTTTTTTTGAGCAGGTGGTTTTCATAGCTGAGCCCTGCAGGTGGCAAGTGACACTTTGATTCATGTTCCCTTGGAGAAAATAAGGTCATGTATTTCTAGGGAGCATGAAAAATATAATCTATGTATGAGTCCAAACGGAGGGGCGCGCGTGATTGTGGTGGCCTGCTGGCTCTTCTGACAAGGTGCCATTATGATCTGGGAACTGAGCTTGTATGGAGGGCACCCTCTGCCATCCCACCCTGTGGCTGCTCTCTGGAAGGGCAGCCCTTACTCCAGGCTTTCTGGGGGATTTTTTGGTACAGGGATTGAACTCAGGACCTTGCACTTGCAAGGCAGGTGTGGTGCCACTGAGCTAAATCCCCAGTCCTCCAGGCTTTCTGTTCTTGAGGGCTGCCTGGTCTGTGCTGAGCATGTACATAGTGTCTGCCAGTGATGGGGAACCTTTTAGAGCTTTCAGTGATACAGCCTATTGCAGCATGCATGCCACAGGTTCACCACCACTGTCTTAACCCAAATGATATTTGGATTTGTACAAATTTGGAAAGTTACTGTCAAATTTAGCAGAGTTCTCTTTTCTTTAACCAAATACTATTACCTTACCCCCACTTGTGTCCCAAAGCAAACACTGTATCCCCCAAAGTCCATGCCTTAGCCGTCAGTCTTATCCCCCACAGGATCCCTGTTGCACAGACAGTGCTGTCCTATGTTGGGATATTATCCCGAGGCTAGGCTGGCTCTAGGGGGTCCTTGCTTCCTCACCTGTTCTGTTTCTTCAACCCTCAGGAGGTCAAGCTCACAGACCAGCTGCCCCTCATCATTGTGTGTGATCGCTTTAACTTTGTCCATGGTCTTGTCCTCTATTTATACTGCAACAACCTGCAAAAGTACATTGAGATTTATGTTCAGAAGGTACTGATGGGCTACTGTGGGCTCCCAGGGTGGCACCTAACAGACTGCTCCTTCCCTCTGACTGTTTCAGAGACTGTCACTTTGAAGGGTGGTATATTGATCTTCTCAGGCTTCAAGACTGAAATGCCACAGACTGTGTGGCTTAAAGGACAGAAATTTATTTCTCTCAGTTTTATAGGCCAGAAGTCCAGGAATAAGTTGCTGGCAGGTTTGGCTTCTGGCCGGGATTGCAGGACTTGTGAACGGCCACCTTGGCACTATGTTCTCAGATGGCCTTTCCTCTGTGTGCATGTGCTCTGTTGTCTCTTCTTATAGGGACACTAGGCCTATGGGATTATGGCCCCACCCTCAGCATTAGTTACATCTTTAACAACCCTGTCTCTAAATATTGTCTTGTTGGGGATTAGGGCTTTGACATATGAAGTTTGGTGAAACACAATTCAGTTCGAAACAGACTTTCACCCACAACATCCAAGTCTTAAGGGCTTCTACCAATGTCCTACATCTGCAGCACTGAAATTGCCACCTTGACTGTTCTAGGTTAACCCTAGCCGGCTCCCAGCTGTGGTTGGAGGGCTGCTTGACGTGGATTGTCCTGAAGAAGTAATTAAAAGCCTAATCATTATGGTAAGAGGACAGTTCTCTACTGACGAGCTGGTGGCTGAAGTAGAAAAAAGAAACAGGTAAGGTATCCTTATTTGATGTCTTCTCTTGCCTCTGGATTCTGGTGTTTATTGTCTGTGTTTCTCCAAGATGCTGTCAGCTGGGTCTTCAGGCCCTAGCACTGTTTCTTGGCTGGTCTTTCATGTACACATCTTAGATCAAAGAATGAGTTGGTGCTAATGACCCTAGAGAAAAACTTAACAATTGAAATCAATTTGGAAGTCATGACTCTCTTGATCCCTGGAGCAATTGAAAGTTGATGGAGTGATATTTTGTTTTGTTTCATTTCATTTTGTTTTGCTTTAAGAACCCCCTCACAAGCTGAGTATAGAGTCATACACCTATAATTCCACCTACTTAAGAGGCTGAGGTGGGAGGATCATAAGTTTGAGGCCACACTGGCCAACTCATCAAGACACTGTCTCAAAATTAAATTTTATTTTATTTATTTTTTAAAATTTTTATTTTATCCTATTCTCCCCTCAAGCCTCCTCCCCTCCCTATGTACAAAAGCTTTATTTCTATTTTTTCCTTCTATTTTCACTTTTTTTCTTGTCCCTTCCTTCCTTTCTCCCTCCCTCCTCCCTTGTTCCCCTTCCCATTGGAACACTTTCTTTCAGAATTAAATTTTTAGAAAAGGGTATAACACTTGGTTACCATGTGGGGAGCTCTGAGTTTAATCCATAGTAATGCCAAAAGAAAAAAAAAATCAACCCTCAGAACCTAGGGGTTACCCTGGAGTTTCCAATGGTAGCCTTTAGACTTTTATATTATTTGCCTTCTTTCAAAGGCTGAAGTTGTTACTTCCCTGGTTGGAGTCCCGAATTCATGAAGGCTGTGAGGAGCCTGCCGCTCACAATGCATTGGCCAAAATCTACATCGATAGCAACAACAGCCCTGAGCTCTTCTTGAGGGAGAACGTCTACTATGACAGCAGCATAGTGGGCCAGTACTGTGAGAAGCGGGACCCACATCTGGCGTGTGTTACCTATGAGCGGGGGAAGTGTGACCTTGAGCTCATTAAGGTGGGCACCAGATATGGTTGTATGCTTGACTGCCCATGTTGCTCTGAACTCGTGCCCAAGGGGGCTGATCAGGGCTTTCTGTGTACCCAAGGGGCCAGGATATAAGGTACATTTCCATGCATTCAGTTGCTTTGTAATTCTGACACTTTTTTGTGACCTGCTTATGCCATGTTTGTATATATTATGTCTGTGGGCCTTCTTGGTCCTGAATCTGATCCATCACCTCTCTGCTTAGTGTCCTCAGCGTTACCTGGTCACTTGAGAGTGACCAAAATTAAACTCTTTAGCCTGACCCGGAACCTCCTCTGTGGACTCTCCTTCCCCACATTGATTCAGTTAGCCTCCCTTCTTGCTAACCCACCTAGAGTGATCTGCATTCCCCCACTGCCCCTTGTCCCAAGGGCCCCTTAGAAGACAACTCCTCACATGCCCTCCCAATCTCTTCCCAATCCTTTAGCTATTGCTGGCCTTGAAACATTTGCCTAGTCTCCTGCCAACATTTCCCAGGCTGGATCTGCATGTACATAATTATCTGTATAGGTTGAGCCATATGAACTATTGGTGCTTAACCATTGGAGGTAAAAATCCACAAATCTCATGTGGTTGAATCTAATATTTGTTAAACTGTAAGCTCCTTGTAGGTATTTGGCCTGTTTGTCCCTAGCACCTCAGAGCCCTTGGTAAACACTCAGCAGCCAGGGATTGTACGTGTTAGGTATGCATGCAGAGAATGGAAGATGGAGAACAGTTACCAGCTTTTCCTTCTTCCCTAGTTTTTAGATAAAGTGACAGGAGGGCTGAGTGGACATAGCCTCTTACCTGGCAGTCTCTGAGGAACTGGGTTTTATAAAGTTGGGACTTTCCTTAGTTTGATACCACAAAGTCACTTTTTGCCTTAAATTGCCACCTTTTTGTTAAAGCAGTTTAATGACCTCTTTGAGCCATGTTTTTGTTTTGTTTCGTTTTGTTTTGTTGGTACTGGGGATGGAACTCGAGACCTTGTGCTTGCAAGGCAGGCGTCGAAACCACTGAGCTAAATCCCCGGCCCTGAAATGACCTCTTTGAGATCTTAGTACTCATCTGTGCTATGAGGCAGTATGTTCTTTTGGTAAGACCAAGTTTAAATGGGCAAGAGGTGTTCATTCAGGTCTTGTCTGTCCAAGAGAAGGCTGTGATGTGCAGTAGGTGCTATGCTACCCTGCTCTGTACACAGAGGCAGCCCATGTTACCTTTGGAGACACACAAATCACTCAACACTGTATCTGGTACTGAATGGATATGATTCTTACCAAGACTTAGCAAATGCCTCACACATTGAAATATCCCAGTGGATAGCTGATGGTTTAAAGATGTAATACTCAGAGAAGGATCTCAAGATCAGTTAGTGAAAGCACATTTTAAGTTTCATAGGCCTTGAAACATTGCAGTGTGTGTGCTGTTTTATACCTGTCCTGGGCTATTCTGATAACACTTTAGAGACTGTTTGGAGCTAGTTACATGTGAGTACTTAAAATTTAAAATTTTAGTTCCCAACAACACCATATTTCAAATTCTCAGGAGCTTCCTGCGGCTAGTCATGGTGACTCAGACAGTGCAAGATGCAGAGTATGTCCATCATTACAGAAGGATGATGACAGTGATCCTACTAACTTAGAAAGGGGCATTTTGAGATACTTTGTCTCTGAGGAATGCAGCAGTGGTAACAGTGTGGGATGGTGTTCGTCACTTGTCAAAGCACAACATCTCACTTGGGCTCCAGCTATCCATACAAGCAGCAGGGAGAGGCAACTCACTGAGGTATGCCAACCAAGTAGCTCCCATTGTCTGCTTAGAGTTACATACCAGTGTGCTTATTTCAGATTTGCAATGAGAACTCTCTGTTCAAAAGTGAGGCCCGCTACCTGGTACACAGGAAGGATCCTGAGCTCTGGGCCTGTGTCCTTGAGGAGATCAACCCATCTAGGAGACAGCTGATTGACCAGGTGAGGCACAGAAGGGGAGGTATGCATGCTTGCATTGTGCCTGCTATTCCTCTTACGGCTCAAGTGACTGATTTATTGTTACTCTTTTTTTTTTTTTTTTTTTTTTTTTGAGAAAGGGTTTCGCTTTGTAGTTCAGCTGGCTCTGAATTCACTGTGTAGCCCAGGCTGGCCTGAACTCAAGGCAATCCTCCTGCCTCAATCTCCTGAGTGCTGGGATTACAGGTGTGTCCCACCACGCCTGGCGTATTGTTATATTTAAATATTTTACAGCTATTACAGACCTTCCCTGCAGAAATAGCTTGCCTAGAAATGGCTCAGTTGCCAAATGTGAGCTGACTTGGAGTTGTTATTGATTTAAGGAAAGACTTGGCTCTTATATCTAAAGCAGGGTTGGGCCCCATAAAAGAATACTTGATGGCATGCCTGCGTGCTGGGTTCTTAAGTGTTTTTCTAGCTTAGCCTCCTGTGACCGAAGTGGCTCTTAACATGTCTCAGCTGACTTCCCTTATCTAGTCACCTCTTGTGACTGTACAGAACCTTGTTAGAACTGAGTGTAGTGCTGGGACCAGGGTCATTGTTAGATATGGCCGCACAGGTACGAATCTGCTCAGCCTCTTGGCAGGCTTCCTTCAGCTCTGGAAGAGGCCTACCCTCTGTCACAGCCTCATAGACATTAGCAGACAGTGCCTCTGTTGTTTTCAGCTATTCCCAAGACTACTGAACATACTGTTTAAGGGTAGCCAAGATTACTGTGGAAATAAAACCTTGGTCCAACAAGTGGCTTCAGCACTGAGCATATGATCAATTAAAGTTCCCACCTTCCCTATGTGCTTTGCCAACCTGCTGGGCAAATGCTTTAAACCCAAGCGCTGGGTTTCACCTTTATTTTTACTGAATTTTACCTTCTTGTTTTTTGTCTACTTTTTCCTCAATCTAATGCCATTATTTTTTAATAAACTTTTTGTTTTGAAATACTTTTTTTTTGGTACTGGGGATCGAACTCAGGACCTTGCGCTTTCGAGGCAGGTGGTGGCACCACTGAGCTAAATCCCCAGCCCTGTTTTGAAATACTTTTAAATTTATAGAAGTCCATATTATTTTCCATCTTTATTATATCAACTTCAGACTTACAGACATCTTGAGGATTGGCTTGAAGGTTTAATAACCTTCACCCAAATCTAAAAACATTGGACAGGGCCAAGGATTTAGCTCAGTGGTTTCACTGCCTGCTGTGCAAGCACAAGGACCCGAGTTCAATTCCTGGTACCAAAAATAAATAAATAAATAAATAATAAAAACATTGAACAAAGGGCCAGGGACAGAGTCTGCTTAGATTCTCTCAGAATCTACCTCCAGGGCCGGGGATTTAGCTCAGTGGCGCCGCGCCTGCCTCACAAGCGCAAGGCCCTGAGTTCAATCTCTGGTACTGGTAAAAAAAAAAAAAAATCCAGCCCCAAGTTCACAGATATCAGACATGTCCAGGTGTAGTCCAGCCACCAGATACACCATGTAACTGACCTTGTATTGGCCCTTGGGGAGGGCAGCTTTAACCCTGCACTGAAGTGCAGCCAGTGGGGCTTCTTGTCTCATTTCTGTGTGGAGCTGCTGAGTTGGTCATTAAGTCTGCTCTAAAAAAAAAAAAAGTGTGCTCTAATTGATCATCTATAGCTACCTCCAGTGGGATACTCTATTGCAGGATCCCTCTGAATGGGAACACAAAACAGGGGCATCTAGACTGCTTTCAGTGTCTGGAGTAGATCCTTATCATACAAAGTTTACTTAGAGAAAGCAGTGTCCTGAGGTAACCTTAGGTTGAGCATTCTGTGTTGACTTAAACAGAAGGTAGAAATTTAGTTATGTCCTTAAAACAACCTGTGGTATGCATTATGATTTTTTTTCTTTTGAGACAGGGTCTCACTGTGTAGTTCAGACTGGCCTTGAGCTCACGATGTAGCCCAGGTTGGCCTTAAACAAAGGGTGATCCTCCTGCCTCAGCCTACCAAGTGCTGGGATTACAGGTGCACACCACCATGCCTGGCTGGGTTTTTTTGTTTTTGGTACCAGGGATTGAACTCGGGACCTTCTGCTTGTGAGACAGGTAGTGTCACCACTGAGCTAAATGCCTGGTCCACCTGGCTGTTTTTTCAGACAGGGTCTCACTGTGTTGCATAAGCTGGACTCAAATTCTTGGATTCAGGTCCAGCCTGGGATATTTAGCAAGACTCTGTCTCAAAACAAAAAGTCAAAATCAAATTCCCAGGCTCAAGAAATCTCCTGTCCCAGATTCCCAAGTAGCTGTGACCACAGGCACATGCCACCACAACTGGCTATATATGTATTTGTTTAAACTGCTCTATAAAAAAAGTAATAAATAAATTGCTCTAGCCGGGGATTTAGCTCAGTGGTTCCACCGTCTGCCTCGCAAGCACAAGGACCTGAGTTTGATCTCCAGTACCAAAAAAAAAAAAGAAAAGAAAAAAATAAACTGCTCTAAGGCTTTTCCTTTAGTGTTTTTGTTTTTTTTTTTAGTTGTTGGTTTTTTGTTTTGTTTTTTGCTTTTGTTTATTTGGTTGGTTGATTTATTTATTTACTTATTCTGTACCAGGGATTAAACTCAGGACCTTGCGCTTGCCAGGCAAGCAGTGGCACCACTGAGCTAAATCCCTGGCCCTGATATTTTTTTTTTTTTTTTTGAGACAGTGTTACTATGTAGTTCAGGCTGGCCTTGAGCTCACAGTGATTCTCCTGCCTCAGCCTCCCAAGAGCTAGGATTACAGGGGTGTGCCGCCATGCCTGGCTCTAAGGTTTTTAAAAACTGATAGATTTTACTGTTGGGTTGCCAGAAAGCACATCTCCTCCTGTGGATAGACCTGAAGTGCTGTGCCGTGGCACCCCTTTCTCCATTTACTCTCTTTGGTTGGTTAGCTGCTGTGGTGGTTCCTTTCTCTAACTCCTTGGCATGCTGTCTTGATTATTATAAGCCACACTGAGGTGGAGCTTTTGCCACTCATCATGCCATTGAATGCACAGAGGCCACCTGAAGGGTAGATCAGAATGTTTTGATCCTGGACCTCTTTTAGCCCCCTCAAGATCCAAGGTGAAAGCCAGCTGCAATAGTATATGCCTGTATTCCCAGCACTCAGGAGGTTGAGGCAGGAGGATCACAAGTTCAAGCCCAGCCTGGGCTCTATAGCAAGACCCTATCTCAAAATATAAAAGATTCAAGGTGAAAATTCATGGTCAGAAGTATATGTCAGCTGTAAGATGTCCTCAGCTATCTCTCCTTCCTCATTAATATACTGCCATCATATGCCTCTGAGGAACCCAGTAATGACACCAGTGGTAGACACCCCCCCAGAGCCACTGAAGGCTTTCAGTGAGCACAAGAACAGTGCTGGTCTTCTAAAATGCTGTTTCTGGGGTATCTCCTCCTTGAAAAACTGTCATTTCACCCTATTTATGAGGTTTTTGGTAGGTGAGTTACCTATAATTGGGTGGGTGGGTGAGAGAGCATGGCTAGTCTTTGTTGGTGTTTCCTTTTAGGGGTGGTTCTCAGTGTTGTCTGGTAGAAAATCTCTGGTTGCACTTGACCTCCCCACTGGAAGTGGTCTATGCCAAAGCAGGGACAGTGCCCTCTGCTGGCAAGATGCTGCTGGAAGGCCATGTGTGCTATGTATGTGACTTGACAGAACAAGGTAACAGTAAACTAGAATTTCACATCCCTGTTTAGTGTACCATATTATTTGTTTTAAAGTACATTTAGATAGTATGATCATTGGAACAGATATTAGGGTCTATAGCTCTTTTGTTTTGTTTTGTTTTGTTTTAGACAGGATCTCGTTATGTAGCTCAGGCTTGCCTCAAGCTCACAATGACACCACCCAGCTTGTAGCCCTTTGGATGTGAAAGGAAAAACTGATTATCAAAGTAGAGAAAACAGAATTCCCTGAGGTTGACTCTAAGTTGCCCTTTCCTTTCTACCTTGAGGAAATCTCCCATGTTCTCTTCTTTATCTGTTCCAGAATACCCTGGAGGAATCAACCCCTTCTGTTTAGCTTCAAAGATACTGTCCTTTTTCTTTTCTTTTTTGGCAGTACTGGGGATCAAACTCAGGACTTTGTACATGCTAGGCAACCATTCTATCACTGAACTTTACCCCTAGCTCCAAAGATACAGTCTTTAGTCAACTTTAATCAGGTTCTTTTATTTTTTTTTATTAAATTCTTTTATTGGTACATTGTAGGTATACAACACAATTACATTTCTCATTGGGATTTGTACCTTTACATAATGCATCTTG